TATATTTATTTATTTTTAGAAACAGGGTCTTGCTCTGTCATCCATGCCTAGAGTACAGTGGCGCAGGTGTAGCTCACTGCAGCCTCAAACTTCTGGTCTTAAGTAATCCTCTCACCTCAGCCTCCCAAGTAGCTGAGACTATAGGCATGTCCCACCACGCCTGGCTAATTTTTCTTATTTATTTATTTTTTATAGAGATAGGGGTCTCACTATGTTGCCCAGGCTGGTCTTGAACTCTTGGGCTCAAGCGATCCTCCCACCTTGGCCTTCCAAAGTGCTGGGATTACAGGAATGAGCCACCATGCCCAGCCCATTCTTGCCTTTTATTTACATGTTTTCAGAATAAGGAGTTGGTTCCCTAGCTAGTGATGACATGATTTTCCTACTTTTTTGGCTTTTTAGAAAGGTATCATTGTGAAGACATGATTTTAATATATTACACTTTCATATCAGAGTCATGGCACCAAAAAATACATATTACATGTATTTCAATAAATTATAGTCATTGTTCTTCCTGATGCTCAAGGTACACCATCTTTGGTCAGTGGGGACGCCTCTAAGGTGGCTCCTGTGTCATTTCTACCTATCTCTATTAGTCTTCGATACCTTCTTGCTCTCTGCTGCAGCATGATATCTGGGGCTTGTCTTACACATTTCCGGCCCAGGCTTGGAATTAGCCATTTCTCCAAGGAGTTCTGTGGTTCCTTTTAGTGGGAACTGGTATTTAGACACCTAAATTTGGGCACTGGAACTGTGCATTGTTACTAGTTTGCCATTGTTTCTAGGCCCTTTCAGTGGACAGAGCTAGGATGTACGTTAAAACAAACAAAAACCTCGTGAGTTTATATGATCATTTCTAAGTCACATTTAACCATACAGACTTTAACTTATTTATCTTTTTTCTCTTAAATCAAATTCTTGGTTCCGAACAACAGTTATACCCAAGGCATCCAAACTGAAACTAACTAGTTATAGGGGTGGGGTGGGAAGGAATGCTAATGACATTGCTCTTTGCACAGCACAGTCTAACAGCCTATGGGAAATCTCATTTGTGTTAGAAATTTGACTTAGTCTATAAACACACACATTTACTGTCTTTTAAGACATCAACATTTTTGAAAAATCTAAGCCAAGTTGTCTTATAGAACATTCTACAGCCTGTATTTGACTGTTTCCTCATGATTAGACACAGGTAAAACATTTTGGCAAGCGGCAGTGTCCTTTTTATAACGTGAACTTTCTAGTGTACAGGTAAGTCTGTAACCAGAAGGCTCTAATTGTTCCTGTGTTCATGTGTGAGGCAGGCAGTAAGCATTACCCAAAATGAACAGCAGAAGACTTTAAAACTAGCAGGTAATTGTTCATCTTCAAGTTTTATTAGATAATGGCACATCTTAAACTGTATTCTTTTCTTTTCTTTTTAGGCCAGCATTTGTAAATCCACTCATCCCTGAAAGCCCAGAGGAAGAAGAGCTCTTTAAACAAGGAGAATGTACATTAATTTGTTTATAATAAGAGAAAATTGAAAAGCACATTAATTATATTGCACAAGAGATTATTTAAGATCGTATATGGACTCTTCATACCAGTCAATGTCTTACTCATTTCAAGAATTTATTGAAATTGAAAATATTTTTTGTTCTTTGGAGTCCATACTTTGAACAATTTTATTGATTAGACAATATTTATTAAGTGAAATAATTTGTTTTCTCAGTTTTAATGAAATGGGAAATGTATCTTAATGGGATAACTGCTGGTCAGGATTCTAGATCAGGATGATAATAAGTGGTCTCACACTGAGTTGATGTAATTTTCATCTGAAAGCAAAGACTCAGTGAAAGTTTTATGTGGCCTCTGCAGCCTTCTCTTGGATATTTATAAAATTTCTGGTGGGATTTTGAAATCTTGAAATACTGCCTTTGTAGGATCCAAGGCACCCCAGGTCAGGCCGCCCCGTGCTATATAGTATGACTGTCCTGATCATTGCTCTTTACTCTCAACACGTTCCAGTGAACAAGGGGAGAAGAACTGCCTTCAGCTCCACATCGTTACTGAAAATGGCTCCCAGCGCTGAGGAGAGGACCACTATACATGAGATGTTTCTTAACACGCTGGATCCAAAGTAAGTTAAGATGGTGAGATTCCAAGTTGGAAAAGCACATTTTAAGTTTTGGCCTTCTCCAAAGCCACGCTTGCCTGAGTGTATTGGGAATTGTTTGCGAATGTTTTACTTTTCAGCAGTGAAACCATGGCATTAACAGGCTTTTATAAATCTCGGTTTGTATAGGACTATAAGTTTTCAGAGTCGAATTTTGCCCCCTAATGCAGTGTGGATGGAGAATTCAAAACTGAAGAGCTTGGAAATTTGCCACCCTCAGGTATTGTAATTTAGCGAGAAATCTTCTGAATAGAACAGCTTGCATTCATGATATTTGTGCAAGATTTGACATACCTTTAAACCGACCTTCATTCTGTTGCATTGTTAATTCCTTTGTTCTGTATAAGAGGGTGGCCATAAGTTTGTATTTATTCATAATTTATTTTATGTCCTGTAGGAGCGGAACATTTTCAATCGTATCTTTGGTGGTTTCCTTATGAGGAAAGCATATGAACTTGCATGGGCTACTGCTTGTAGCTTCAGGTGAGTTAGATTTAAGGCAATCTTAACTTCTGAGAAGCAATTTATACCACCCCACTGAAATGAAACATTTTGGGCCAGTCTGGATGTGTTTGGGAATATGTTATGTTTTTAAATGAATACCACACTGATAATCAGCTGGGTTTGGTCTTCATTTTAGAAGGCCGTTGCTCTAACTTTGTAAGTTAGCACATTAAAGAACTACTGAGAAAATACAATGGTAATATGTAGTAGGGAAAAGATATAGTGAATTTTGCCCTGGTCTGACCATAGTGGCGCTTCTTACCATTCCTTGCTGCTGTGGTCATTTCCCCCTTCTCAAAGTTTATTCTTCATTCATTTTTATTTTGCTTCAGCTGGTTGTTAGGGGGAAAATTGAGACCATCTGAATTTTGAAACTTATCCCTGATTCTGCTATTCCCCAATAGTGGTTCTCGAGCATTTGTGGTGGCAGTTGATGACATCATGTTTCAGAAACCTGTCGAAGTTGGCTCATTGCTCTTTCTTTCTTCGCAGGTAGGTGTGTGATGAGAGATGAAATACAAGTTTGTTGCTATTTGTACCTCAGAGAGAAGTTTCTATATCCTAAAGGCACTGTTTCTTTTATGACTGCCTTTCCCCCTTTCTAATGCAATTGACTAACTATAGTGTCTATAATCTGTTAGGTATGCTTTACTCAGAACAATCACATTCAAGTCAGAGTACATAGTGAGGTGGCCTCTCTTCAGGATAAAGAGCATACGACCACCAATGTCTTCCATTTCACGTTCATGTCGGAAAAAGAAGTGCCCCTGGTTTTCCCCAGAACATATGGAGGTGAGCAGTGATTATTGCTTTTCCCTAATGAAGGGAAGAACTTTTAAAGAAAATTTTCTCCTTTTAAATCATTGTAGGAAGTACATCGATGCCTGTCAGCACAAGAGCATGTCTTTAGGAGATTTCGCTTTTGAAAGCCTACAGCCCTGAAGGCCAGAGATACCTTGTGGCCCTCAGGCAGCTGTTGCTGCTCTGCTCTGCAGAGCTGGTGCCAGCTGCAAGCAGCCACTGGTAGCCCAAAACTGGTCTAGCCAGAGGAAAGGGACAGGAGTCATGGCCTGCTCCCTTGGGAATGTTGCACAACCCTAGCCCAACAGCACACCTCATTCTGTCCCAGTATTCTCAAGTAATCTTGTGTTTGTGTAATGATTTTCTAAGGTGCTGCAAGTTTCTCCAGGATTATGTTTCTTGTGTTTCAGAGTCCATGTTGTACTTAGATGGGCAGCGGCATTTCAACTCCATGAGTGTCCCGGTGACCTTGAGAAAGGACTACTTTATGAAGCCCTAGGAAAAGCTCACTTGTTGAAAACCAGCACTCCACCTGCAATGACGTAGTGCCTCTTCAGGCACTTCATCAAGGCCCCATCACGTGTATTGATTTTAGTTTGCTTCCCATCCTCCATTGAGAAGGAGAATGTATTTAGCTTGTAGGGTGATCAGAAAAGCAGACGACAGTGTGGCTGAATGGGGCCGAAGGGAGAAAGAATTACTAAACAATAAATACTTTAAAAACAGTTTTAATTGTGAACCTCCCTTGTTGCATCCCATCTGCTGAAGAAATTAGGGCAGAATGCCTTTTTACACAGTTGGACTCACTCTTGTCTTACATATATTGCTACTATCAATATACAAGGTTTCCTGCCAAGGCATTTGGATGACATTCTTTAAACCTGACCAGCTCCCGTAAGTTGTCTAAAATCCCATCAACCCTACATGTTTCCTTTGTATTTTTACTTCCCTCTGTTTCCCAGATTTTGTTGTTAGCAGAGGGTAGATGAAAATTTGGGGTGAAGGGATTTAATAAAAGATACAGCATCTGTAAGATTTGTGGGAAGCTTTAGATCGGAAACCATGCCATGAGGTGATCAGAGATGATCTAGGTGAGAAAACAGGACCATTTTTTCATTCACCAGGCAGCTTGTGCTAGGGGCTGGGTAGGATATATCCGATTAAAAACAAGAACAATAATAATAATAGTTACTTCTGCTTATGGAACACTTCCCATGTGCTAGGTAGTCACTGTCCTCAGCACTTGGCATGTATTAGCTCATTTATTTCTTCCAGTCAACACTATGAGGCAGGTTGTGTAACCGCCTCATAGGGTTAAGCCACTTAGGAAACTGAAGCGCAGAGGTTAAGTAACTTGCTCAAGGTCCAACAGCTAAGAAGTGGTAGTGCTGGGATTCAGAACCAGGCAGCGTGGGTCCAGGGTACTCTTGGCTAGTACACTGTACTTGTTTCAAGGAATATAGCAAGGGAGGTCATGCCCAATATCACAATGTTACCTAGGAAGCCAAAGGCAGGCATTCTCATTAATCTGCAGCCAAGACAGTTTCTTGATGGGAGGGAAACTTGATCAAGTTCAGAAGAGACCAAAAGCAGGCTACATAGAAGAAAAAAGTAATCTCTGAGAAAGGTGCTCCCAAGAAGGAAGCAATCTTCTTTAGTGTGTGAGTTCTAGGTCAGTAGGCACAAAATTGGCTCTACCTCAGAATTAGCTGGAAAGCTTTTAAAAAATTTATATTAGTTTATGTACTGTTTATTGAAATCACAGTTAATAAGCACCTCTGGCATAAATAGTCATGGGAACAAACACAACTGTCTCTTGGAGGTATGCAGTTTAACTCATGGAATCAAGAAATGCTGTAACTTGTCTCTCAACACTGTATTACTATCCTGAGATTTACCTGGCCCTTCAATACAGCATTTTGCCTATCTACCTATGACATGTTGGGAACTGGCAAGGCTAGGTAGCTATGGGAAGGGATGGGCCCTGGGGAGTTTTGTGAATGTGTTAAGTGGAGTTCAGCTGAGAGACCCACTGTATGCTATTGTATAGATTATATTAATACATTATATATTTAACCATTTGTTGCTGTACACTGAAACTTTGTAGAATTTTTTCTATTATAAACAGTGTTGTAGTAAATGTCCTAAATACCTAAAACATTTGATCCCTAAATTATTTACTTTAGAAAAACATAGAGAAGTGAGCTATCAACATGTTGAAGGCTTTGAATATGTGTTTCACATAACCCTCTAGAACAGTTGCACATGTTCGCTTACTCATCAGCAATTTCCATGAACTTTGCCAAATTTCATCTTTTCTTTTTGGAACATCTTGCCATTTTGATAGGTGAAAAATGACATTCATTAATTGCCTTTCTTTGAGTTCTGCAATTGAACTTAAATTGCTTTTTGTCTTTTTAGTTGAATCGTTCAAGTAATTTTGGATATCAGAATCTTAACCCAAAATCTGTTATCATCTAACAATACAGATATTTATAAGAACTAGAGTTTTGTTTTTTTTTAATACAGGACTTTAAGAAGATGAGATGAAGCAAACTAAAGGATGTACAGTAGGTTCTGGATTATTAGTGTTTTGCCCCTCTTCCTTAAGGAATAGAGGAGAATTTGTAATCAGTACCAGTACTGCTAAGTATCTAGCATGGATCTTCCTCATGTGGGTTGGACATTGTTTTGTGTTGAATAGTCTGTGCTAAGATCCCAATTTTACTTTAGGCTTTTATTACCATGTTCTCAGTTTTTGCTTTGATATTTCTTCATTGTGCAGTCTTAGAATGTCTTTATCATTGATTTCTTTAGAAGAGTTTACTTCACTCTACTGTGCTTTGCACTATGTTGGGTATGTCCATGAGATGCTGTAGATCTCTTTTCCTGTGGTAACCCAAATGCTCTGTCTACATATTCCCTTTGGTATCTATATTCTCTCAGATATAATCTGCTTTCTCACACTTCTTTGAGTAGAGCCAGGAGCTCGATTCCTCTAAGAACTGAAATTTTCACCCCACTCCCCTGGGATTTCAATGTTTTATTTTTCTTCTTGATGAATTTGTACACTTTATTTTTCTAAAGACATACTTGATTCTGTGAGATGGCTGGGCTCACCCGGGAGGTTCTTTTGCTCCATGTGGCATTGGCTGGGGTCACTCAGTCAGCTGTGTTCATCTGGGAGCTCATCTGGGGCTGGGACATTTGGTGCCTTGGCTGGGATGGGTGGGGACTGTCTGGCAGGCTGGTTCAATTCCTTAAATGGTGACTCCAGGGCTCTAAGAGCAGCCAGACAGATTCTCAGGTCTTAACCACACCATCCTCCTCCTTCTCAAAGCTGTTTTCATGGAGGGATCAGTGGTGTCACTGAAGTTGGTAAGGATAAGCACTGGGAAAAGGCCACTGATTAGGTGACTGAGAGGTCATTGGTAAGAAAAAGCAATTTCAAAAAAGTGATACAGCCTGGGCAATAGCAAGACCCTGTCTGTACAAAAAATAGAAAAATTAGACAGGCGTGGTGGTGCACGCCTGAAGTCCCAGCTACTCAGGAGGCTGAGGTAGAAGGATCCCTTGAGCCCAGGAGTTTGAGGTTGGTGTGAGCTGTGATGACACCACTGCACTCTAGTCTGGGCAATGGAGCAAGACCCTGTCTCCAAAAAAAAAACAAGTGATGGTGTCTTGGGCTAGATGGCAAGGGGCTGAGCCACTTCAAGCATTTGTGTGCCATTCCCAGGTGAATTCCTCACTGGTGCTATCCAGATGCTCTTTTATAAAAGTTTTATTGACAAGAAACATTGGGAAACAGTGCATGGCATAACCCTCCTTGTGTGTTTTATAACGCATATTAACTTACCAAACACTGAAAATAGGGTCATTAAAAAACCTTCACTTTTAAAAATCAGCTTTTGTGAAACATATTTGGCCATGGGTCTATTTTTTTAATATATATACCTATGAACAAATTGAACACACTAGGAAGTTTTACAGCTTTTATAAAGCTGGGATCATACTCTATGTTTTTGTAACATGAAAAGGAAGTCTAGTATATTGTCCAAGGAGTGAGTGGTTATGTCCTCTTTTGCTTTGAAGAATCAAATAGTAGTGCTATGTTTCTTAAAACCAAATTTAGGATGACATTTTAGATCTGACTTTTCCAGTCTTTTTAACAGGAGTATAATTGCTTGCTGTCACTGCTGATATTTTATAAAATGTTAACTTGTAACAATACCTTTAACTTCACAACTTCTGAATAATCTTTTAGCATTATGACCCTCTTTACAGATGAGAAGAGGGAGGCAAAAGGAACTACATCAGGAGGACGATAAAGATTATAAGATGTTTGCTTTCATTCTGGTACAAAGAATACAAGTTTGTATTACTGATATCTGTTTCTGAGCAAGAACTTCAAGCTAAAATTCAACAATGCATAATGCTTTAGCATGAAAACATTTGGAAGGAATTAAGGGTTCTTTATTTGGTTATAGCACCTCATGGCAACTTGTATGTTAGTGAAGTGTGGCACAAACTTGGCAAAAAATCAGTTACAAGATGTAATCATCATAAGGTAAGAATTTTTATATATGACTAACACACTGGTTTCTTACTATGTGTCAGGCACTGAGCTAATTACTTTAAAATATATACTCTCATTTAATCCTTACATTAACTCTTAGAGGTCAATAATATTATCACCGACATTTTGCAGATGAGGAAACTGAGGCTTAGAGAGGGAAAGTAACTTCTCAAAGCCTACCCTGTAACTATGTACATGGGCTAGGCCCAGACTAGGTCTAAAATCTTGGTCCTTTGCCACATTTCTTATGTATTGTCTCAGCTATTATGCTAAAGGGTTAACTAATGCCATGTATACATATTAGAATACAATCGATTTTCAACCGTAAGAGAAAATGATGGCTGAAATATTTTTGGCATTTGGTTTAATTTCCTCTTAGAATAAGCCTTTTGCTACAGGTGTGATTGACTCTTTAAATTGACTTGTGAATGTTTTCTTTCCCTTCCCTTGGCAACAAATAATAAATTTGCTGTAAAATAGGTAACAGAAAAGAGGAATTAAAAGTAGGGATTGGTAAGTTCAAAACAGATTTAAGGGGTCCTTGGCTAATCACATTGCTTCTAGATGCAACTGTTGTGTCATGAAATTATTTTGATGTAAGGGTATCAATTTTAGGTGGATTTGGAAGTCCTTTGGTCCAGTGTGTGGGTTTCTGGGCAGGCAGAGTGATACGTAAGAAGCAGTGCTGGCCTGAATATCGATACCTGTGAGGTCTCGCCTACCTCTGCAACCAGGTAGTTCTGGGAGTCGGATGAAGGATTAATCTCTTCATGTCTTGTTTCCTCCCCCATACAAGGAGGAGCACCTTTCTCATCCTGGAGTCTTCTGATTTAGGCCTATATTCTTCCTTCACTTGATTCAGCTATTCGGTTAGTGAAAATATTTTTATGACTATGTTATATATAATCTTAAAAATCAAATCCCACTTAAGATGTGTATGCTAAAAAAAAATTGGAGCCTCAGAATACAACAGGCCCTTCTTGAAAACCACTCAGTAAACCAGAGGCATAGAGGAATTAATACCCCACAGAGAAAGGATTATAGTAACCAAAGAAAGGGTAGAGATGTTTTGGTTTTTGTGTCACAGAAATCGTGCTCCTTTAATAGATGGAATAGTATGGCTTAAATGAACGAAACCATAATGACAGTAAAATGAAAGTTACACA